TGCTTTTTGAGACAGTCCAAGGTACATAGACAGAAGCGAGTTTAATAAACAGTGAATGATGCCATGGGATTTTCAGAAACTACAGGGTTTCTTATTGAAGAGAACAGTTACCATTCTCTCTCCATTAGAAGTTTGACAGCAAATAATGCCTTTCAACAGCTTCAGACCATGACAATGAAGAATAATATTGTTCTCCTTAGTTTTCTGGAGCTGGATGTAGTGGAAATGGATTATCAGATGTTTTTCGTCTGTAAAATCTCTTTCAAACTTTTCCACACTGATGTTTTTGTTATGGTATCTACATAGATTTTTAGAAAAAATCCTATCAGTTGTGTGAAGTGGCAGTGGAACAGGCACACTTTTTACAAACTTGCCATGGAGTTAGGTTTCTGATTCTGGTCATGTTTCAGTTTTCTTGTTCTGAAAATCAAATGTTTCATAATGTTTGCATCACCACACCTTCAAGCTCTGGTTTTGGGCACTAAATCATCGACATTGCTACCACTACTCATAATCACAATTTATCATCTTATTTTTCCAATTGTATGTTATGCTGTAAATGTAGAAACCTTATTGTAGGAATAAAGCAACATATGTTTTAATGGCAATCATTTAATGTATCTTCTTCTTGTGGTCCTTTAAAATATCATGTAAATACTGATACATTTGTCTAGTTAACACCTTCAGAAAATTTTTTTTCTATAAACCTATGTTTTTATACCTCTTTTGTTTTGTTTTTTCCTGCACTAACTAATTTATGCTTGGGTTTTGCCTAGACCTCTGCTTTTTAATGAATTTTTCTAAATGAAAAAGTAGTAAGGTGTATTGCTTACCATCACTTAGGATGAGTAGTAAGCTATTTCTTTACTTATGCTTTCTTTCTTTCCCTTAACACGAGACATTGTAGTTTTCTTTGTCATCTTGACATACCACTTGCATGTCTTTGCTACATAAAACTCAAATAGTTTTTTGTTCTGACTTGTACACTATAGATATTTTTATTTTTTAGGTACAACTTTCACTTTAGTCCTAAATGATCTTACCCTGTCACCTGTTAAGCCATCACTATGAATGATCTTATAGAATCTGTCCCTTAAAGTTTTCACTCTTTCATGCATCTGTCCTGTAACAGTATGCATTCATTATGTTCAAGGCTATTTATCAATAAGTATTTTCATCTCCACCTCATTTCATGTTTGTCAAAGAAAGGGCAGCTCAGGATACAAAATGGTTTTCATTGATGATACTTGTATTTCTTCCTGTACTTCGTTGTACATTCTATTTTGAGTCTGTGTCAAGGATAAGTTGTCAACTTGCCTGAATTTGTCATTAGTTTGTCTCTTAAAGGCTTCTACCTCAGGTTATATTTGTGTACTTTTGACATCAATTTTATTTTACATATTTATTTATACAGTTTAACCCTATGTGCATGGGTGGGGATCAAAGGTTGTACATTCCCTGACTTTGTCCAGAGTACTATTCAACATGATATTACACATTTAATGTCAGCCTTATCAACATTTCATGTTATCTTATGTTGCAGATTTTGGAACAGTTCATGTTAGAGTTGAGAAAATGGCATATAATATACAGAGATACTGATTTGCATAACCTCTAGAATCTCCTAAATGCAATTTGCAAACTGTATGATGGACAAAAATATTTTTATTCTTCATATGAACATCAGCTTGCACTTGAACTAACTTGTCAGAATCTGAGTCAGACTGACAGTGGCATTTCACAGACATATTTTTAGTACAAAAACTTAGTAGCACATTTGATTTTTGTGTGCAACAGACTTGTATTGTTGAATGAAAGCTTGCCTCATTTTATAAAGATAAATTTCATAAATTTGGAATTATAGTCAATATTACTTTTCCAATTTATTCAAGTAAAAGAGTTGCACTGAGAAAGTATCAGAAGATAGAGTCACCCATGTTGTTTGGAATTTTTTTTCATTTACAGGGATTCATATTGTTACAGTAATCAAATTCTAGTTAAAGTGCTTAACAACAGTCTATGGTCAGTTTTTATATAAAATTAATGACCCATAAAGGAGATATCATAGTTTGTTAAATTTCTTTCATTTTTCTCTCTTCCACCCTTTAGTGTAACAGTAATCCTTTGTTTTAGAAAATTGCTGCTTGTTGTAAATAGAAGGTTATTTATATAATATTTTGCTACTGAATTATTTTCAAGATGAATTAATAAAACTTATTACTGTATTATTAAGCATTATTTTGGTGAGCTTTTTTGAAAACTTGTAATCAACCAGTATACATAATGATGCACTGCTTTACACAGGTTCCCTTATTGATGTCTCCTAGTGGATAGTTTTAGATCTACATGGCAGATAAATTTATGCTGATTCAGTTAACTTCCAACTGGAATATTTTATAGAAAAGTAAAATAGATTGAAGGGATGTCACATGATACATTGATATTGACTTCTCATTTATAGATTTTTTTCTCTTCCCTTATAAGGGCTTAAGAATTTTCAACCAATTAGAAACACATACTACAGATATTGACAAGCCAGAATATAAAATTTCAACCTTCTGTTGCTTTAATGAGTTACACTGTTACATGACATGCCACTTCCATATCCTCTATTTTTTAAGGAATCTCTGTAATTCTGTCTGACATTGTTATTGGACATGTTTATAACAATAGAAAGAACATATTTTGAATTACACGATTCAGGTAATTGTTTTAGAAGTCAAAATTGCTAGTTGCTTTGGGAGTTTTATGTACTTAGACTAAAGGCATTGCTTCAAGCATTATTTGTAGGTTAGCTAGAAAGACAGTTTTATTACATTTTATTCTAGTAACTAATATATTTTTGTGTTCTAAAATGCATATTTCCAGGCTATATGAATTATGTTTTTGATAAACCAACATAACAATAAGAAAAATAAGCTTTTTAAATCCATGTACCTAAGTGCAAAAGGCCTCAAAGCTAAAGTAATTGCTAATTTCTTGTTTTATGTATATTTTCTGTTTATTGTTCTGTATTTTTCAACAGAAGTAACTAACAGTAACTTAAAGGAAACAATTATGTAAAAATTCCTCATGATCACTCTGATGAAAGCATGCAAGGCAAGTAGTTTGATATCCCATGATGTAACCTGATACTCTGTGCACTCTAAGCTTTTTGCTTTCCTGTTGGGCCAGGATACTGAAAACAGTTCAAGGTACAGTGGTGAGGCAATAAAACTAAAAAAAATCACATGTCAATAGGCTGGAAAGCTGAAGCTTTAGTATAGAAAATTTTAATTTTGTTAAAATCTGCAATCATTGTAGAAATGAAAGTATTTTGGATTTTATTTCATGTTTTTAAATTTTTAGTTTCACTGTTCATTGATGAATTCCCTAGAATTAGTTTTAGGATAGAGAAAATAAGAGAGAGTTTTACCATAAAAACAACAACAATTATTTGTTTAGGAGGTTCTACAGGTTATGCAGATGAAATATGAAAACTGTAAGATGAAAAGAAATACTTTTATTCTTAGCATGGAAATCAACTTTCACTCAGACTGATTCAGTAGAGACTTCATAAATTCACAGATAATTCTTTCATATGAATACTTTTTAAAAAATAATTTTCTTTATATAATGTACTTCTAATCTTTACTAAAAGCTTGTCAAATTTTGTGAAGATATACTCTGTACATTCAGAGTTATGGTATGTATAGTTTCATGGTTACACGGTAGTTACAAGATTGGTTAAATCAACCAACTCATTGGAATAGGGTTAAAGATTGTCTTACTGGATTGTAATACATGTAATTTCAAAAATTAGTTTTTCTTTCTTTTTTTTTTACTCTATACAAGATAATAAAGAGGTCTATTTTCCTTTACCACTGTAAATTTTCTTTGTAGAACTTGTGTGGAATTGATTCGTTTATTAAATTACGAAAAAAGGTTAAAGTTTAAAATTATTCTTGTCCTGTAGTACCAAGGAGTAATAATTTAAGTAAATCACTTGTGTTTTGGTATTAAAATTTGTACTAGACGTGTATGAACGTTACACCTTTCACATTCCTCATTAGTGGCTCTTAGTGTTTTGATAATGCATTTTCATTTAAATTTATGTATATTGATGTATGAACAAAACAGTGGTGTGAAAAAATAGTAATAGTTTCACTATGATAAGAAATATACAATAGCTTATACTTTAGGCTTATAATATTTTCTCTTTAGCTTCCAATCTAACATTGCTTAGCATAATTTTCTAGGCCCATCAAACAAAATTTGTCTCAATTGTTATTTTTGATGAAACGTCCCCAATACACAATAAAAAATGGTTTTTGTAATTTCTTTTATGTTGGTCATATTTAATACCATTTCTTATGTTCCTATCATATGTACTATAACTGTTGTTGCATTTTAAGAAATACAAAGGCAAATTGTTTTTCTCAAATACTCATTGGTTGCAATTATAAACCTAATGATATACTCAGTATTTGGTGATTAAAGTGACATGTACTTTAGTTTAATAGTTGAATATAGCTATAGTGCTTCTTAAAATGTCCTTCATTTGCATTCAGTACAATCACTATATGATTATTTTAGTATATTTACTGAATTCAACCATATATTTTATGGTTTATAGTTATAACTGTTTAGTTTGAAAGAGATATATTAAATTAATCCCAACTTGGAGCAGAAATGTATATGTATATATTCTTTCCGTATTTCTTTGCTAGTAAGCTTGACTATGAATGCATCCACCCAGTTAGAAATTAAAATTGAGCTCCATTTATACTTAAGACCACTATCATTAAATACCATTAGCAGTTCTGTGTGCTAAATCACACAGTCAGTGTGGTGAGCTACAGGGAGTTGTAACTTGCAAGATATTTAGAAGTTATTTAGTACATTTCACTTGCTGAATTTTTTCTTGTGATTCATCAGTGTATTTGAAGATTTAAAATGTGTTGTATTTATATGATTAATATTCATTGTAACTTGATTCAGATGTAGCATTGTTTTTGCAGAGTTGTGGATGTAGGCACTGAATGGAGAACTTTTAACAATGAGAAGTCCACAAATGACCCTACACGTGTGGGCGCAGCAGAGGTATTGTTAGATTTTAAATTGCATTGTTTTATAGGCTTTTAAAAGCTGGTTTGCTTTCTGTTTATTTTAAAACTAAACTTAGAATTATGCCTAATCCTATTTAGATCTAGATATAAGTTAAATACTAAACTGATCTACCACATCTAGTACATAAACATTAGAACAGTTGTTGTTCAATAAATTGATGATATAAATAATGGACATGGAATACTTATATAAGAATACAGCTTTGGGAGTATTCATACTTCTATTTGAATACTTTGGTAGGGAAAATGAAAGTATTCCTATTCATATTTGCTGAATGATTTAAGTAAATACTTGGTATTGTAAGAGTAAATGTCAACTTTTGTGCTCATAAAATTTCTAGACTGTCATTATTACATCTGTAGTACATTAATTTCTCTTGTGATGACAACATTATAATTAGCAATTTATGTTAAATTTATACTTCTTGAAGGGGTGGTAAATTAGAGAAGAGGGGATGCCTAGAGAAAACAAATCATGTTTCTCACACTAGGGGAAATTCAGAACTTTTTTAAACATTGCCCTATAAAATTAAGAACTTAAATTTAGATACTGTTAAAATATGGATTATATACTAATTAATATAACATGAACAAAAAGTGGTTTAATCAAAATTTGTATATAACTTACTAAAGCATTGTGACATGTGTAGCGAAGAATGACCATGGTGAGAGGGTTAAATCAGGTCAGTACTCTCCAACCATCTTAAACGTTATTGCATTATGTGGTTATTAATCCAATCAAGTCACTTGAGAAAATTTGAGATGGCTACTAAACTGCCTTCAGTTGTACATGAATACTTTATACTTCCTACTGCCTCCTCTTCAAAGGATACAAGGACTAACACCTATAGGAATGGTCCTTCCATTCCTGAAGAAAGCAACCCTCTAAATTATTGAAAGATACATAAAAAAATCTTTGCTACTGTATCCTTACTAGCCAAATGCTACTTGATTGTTCCAGCATCCTCTGCCCCTGTTCAGCATTTGTTAAGCATCTCTTATAAGTGTATCTCTTATGAAACCTTATAAGTGTAGTGAGTCTTGGTATAATAAGCCTAACGTAAAGACAGAGTTGGATCACCTAGCCTAGAGCCAAGTGCATAAAATTTATTGGGCCCGCGGCCATCACATTATTTTGCTGGCGTGACATATTCTGGGTGCAATGAATCTAGTCATGGATCAGTTATTCAGATCCAATGAGGTTCTACCAATGGAGTGGTATTTGGATCCTTTCATTTTTCAAGAGTTGTGTGCTTATTGGGGTATCCCAGATATGGATGCATTTGCATCTCCTCTCGACATAAAGCTTTCCATTTTTAGTTGCCTATTCCTCATCTGCAGGTGGATGCTCTCAGCCGTAATTGAACCGATTGTTGCCTAGTTGGTTTCTTCCTTATGTCATCTCGATAGTTCTGACTACTCCTTGTCTGGTTCTGTTGGTGGGCCCATATTGGCTGGATCAGTCATGGTTTCCACTTTTACGACAGCTTTTGGTAACACCAGCAGTTCCTCTTTTGTTGTTTCCCATGCTCCTTCATCAGCCTCTCTCTGGTGTGTCATCCTTCTCTACCTGCAATTCATCTTCACACGTGTCTTTTGTCCGGTCCCTTGCCAGATGGTCCAGACTTTCCAGGCATGTTGCCTCCTGGATTTCCCATTCTATTTGTCCAATATCATTGGCTGTTTTTCAGTGTAAGTGGACTACATACAGCTATTGGTCTCTACGCTGAAGTTACCATCATTCTCGACCTACTGTTCCTCACTTGTTGTCCTTTTTTCACTTGGCTTGTGACAGGGATCTCTCGGTTTCCTCTGTTACAGGTTACAGGGCATCTTTGGTCTTCCACTTTTTGAGTTACCAAATTTGCATCTGTGTTCTAATCTCCTGTCCTATCTGTGTTATTTATTTTATTCTCCTTTGCTTGTCATTTTTGTTCTGCTTCTCTTTCTCTCTGTTTGGAACCTCAATGTTGTCCTTCATGCTCTTACTCATGCTGCTCTTTATATCAATGGCATTCTGCTGGTGTCGATGACGTGACACACTTCCTACCGCAGATCTGATGTACAATTTCTGATGCCCTCAGGTTTTGGTTGTAGCACTCTGCCATTTCTATATATATATATATATATATATATATATATATATTACAGTTTGCCCTTCTGGCTGTGATATTCATCCTTCCTACCATCCTCTGGATCTCTTCTCGGTTGAGTAAGGTGTTGGTTTGAAACAGTCCAGCCACATAAGTCCTCACAGGTGTTTGGTTGGTCCTTTCTCCTACCACAGACTAGATGATAAATTCCCAATGTTGCCAGGTCCTCGACTGTAATAGTTACCCCAAATTGATGTCCCTCTTCATCTTCCTACTGTCTGCTGTATGTCAGTTCCCAGTCAATCTAGTGTTGTTTGAAGGTGGACAAAACACATGATTACCCGCATGTATCAATTTAGGAAAATGTTAACATATTTGTTAGTTTAAGCTCAGGAGTAAGTTGCTTACACTGTATAGATTACTATTTGCAGAATGTTACTCTTTCACTTTTTTCTTTAGTAATTTAAATTTGTGTTAGGGAATTTCTCAGTATTTACAGTAGCTCTTTAGAGAAGCTAAGCCAACAATTAGATGAAACAATTTTGTTACTCAAGGCTTAGATGAAAGACCACCGAAACTTGTGTTCTGTAAGCATTGCATACAAAGATCATTTAAAACTTTCACTTCTTTTCTAAGGATATTTCAATAATTATGGTGAAGCAAATTTAGGAAAAGGATATGAATATGCTTGGAGATTTGACTGGGCAAGTAAGATTCAATTTTATTGTAATGTTCATTTACAAATTACACCAATTGTATCCACTGTCCTATACAGACAGTACAGTTAAATTTTACATTGTCAATTCAATATTAATTCCAAGTTATATGCATTTCCTTTTTTCTGGCAAATTAAAATGTGTCTGTCTCTCTTCCCCTCAAAACTGAAAATCTCTCCTAAATTTTGGATCTGAAGTAAAGTCTTTGATATATGAAACTTTAAGAAATCTTAATGCATTATTACTGCTTTAACCCTCAAATTATCAACTGATTTGTGTACTGTTCACTACCAGTGGGGTCCATGTATAGTATCATGATGAGTAATTTTTCTTTTGCGTGTTACATAAATCAGTTTAAAGAAATGAGTACAAAAAATTTAGTTAAATTACACGTTTTATTTAACCCCAGCTGTAATTTATGAGATTAATTGTAACTCTGATAGTACTTTTGTAACTTTTTTTGTGTGTGTGTTTCAGTTACGGATCTACAAACAATGTGGTGCATAAATAGTTTAGAAAATGTGTTTACAAAGCTGATGTGATCTGTCATCAGTAAATCTAGGTTTAAATTTATAATAGCTGAGTATTACATACATTTATACTGAATCATCACAGAAGAATGTTATGTATGCGAGTACAATGAGTTTTTAATATTGGGAAAGATATAACCTCATGCTATCAGCATATTGGACAATGTAGTCATAATTTCTAATAATTTGACTTCACACACATTTACTTTGGGATAATTAATTATTATATCAATTTAAAACTTTAGGTTGTTTGTATGTGTCAGTGTTCTAGGTCTCAAGACCTCCCTTTGAAGGGTCTCAGGGTCGATGTTTTACAGGTTTCGAAAACGAGGCTGGTTAAATTTAAAACTTTTAACAGTATTAGACCAGGCATCTATCCAAGATTATTGGGTACTAAGTATCGATTACGCAGTTCATATGAGACGTGGTGTAACATCAAAGATGTTTTATTAGTAAAACTCCCCCTGGTAGTTGGTACTACTACTTTGTAGTGATGTTTCTAGAGCCTCCCTTATTTTTTGTTTACGTTACCAATCTCCACATTTCCTGTATATTAATCCATGGTTATAACATGCACTATTCAAAACTAACTGCTACAATACATTGCATTGTGCATAGGCTTTCTACGAGTGTGCATAAACTTCATCTGGTGCATGTATTTACGTTAAGCGCTAGTGATTATCCCTCATTTTCAACATGTCTAGTAAATCTGCTGTGATCCTGCTTGGCTTCAAATATCTTAAAGAATTTACCGACACCAATACTGTTTGTAGTTTTATTTGATGACCTTTTTTATTTTTTTTTATTTACTTACTATGATTATTTTTTTCATTATTTTATTTTCATAGGAGGAGACATTAAACAAAATCTGTGGGGTTAATGTGTAAAAGATTTGCAGTTAAGATGTTAACAAAGTTTTTTTTATGCATGTGATTTTTATTCTTTTTTCTGTATTTTTTATTGTGTAATTTATTACAAGGTCTTGGTCTTGACCCATAAGGTCTCATTCGTGGACATTGAGGTCTTGACTACAACACTGGTGTGTGTGTATGTATGTGTATATAATTCATTGTAATATTACATACAAAATGAAAGCGAAAAAGAAAAATAGAAACATTGCAGATACAAAAAAAACATGTACTACCACCTGGGCACAAAACATAAGGTGGGAAGTAATGCAGTGTGCCCTGGTTTTTGAGGTACTGGTGGAAGTAAGACCCAAATTGCATTGGGGGTACCTATCTACCCAGTTCAACCTTAGTTTCGCAGGCCTCACACACACACATATGTGTATATACATATATATATATATATATATATA